TGTCTCTATCCATGTATTTCTGTTGGCAGTGCGCAGTGTCCGTCATGGCCGCCCTTCCAGTTTTTTCGTGATCTGCCATCTGCCCGTTTCTGATGTCATGCATTAATTACTTGGTCTGTCCCATCTTCGCGCGCGCCAACTGCTGTGCGACGTGTGGCAACAAGCCGATTGGCCCGCTCTCGTGTGCGTCCGAGCGGACTCCGGTGTGTATTAAGCACCGGCTGGCGAGCAAGAAAAGTCAGCTATTTGCGAAATGCTGGGGCTGCCTGAATAACAACGAGCTCCTTCCTGTTGTCGCTAATATTTCGCCGCTCGTGTTTTTCGTCAATTTTGCAGCATGGAATCAAAGCACGATACACGTTTACGATGCTCGTGGTGCGATTGGCACGTTCCACACGCACCAAACGAAGGGCGTGGATGGCGTCAAACGGTCATGAGAATTGCACAAGTGGACGCTCACGTTCACAACGCGTTCCTACCAATGAGTTTGTCGCATAGACTACAGCAATAATACTGTACCACGGTCGGAAGGTCGGCGTTCGAGCACAGTTGGAGTTCAGTCGTGGCCCGGTTTAGCGACCCGTCCTGCTGTAGTGTCAGGAGGGAGTATGGTCGCTGTTCACGGCATGTCGCTATTGCCGATATAACGACTATTTTCCGGGGTGCAGTGGTGCCACGGGATCTTTTCTGGTCGCCAAACCGGGCATGTCGCTAAACAGGGGGTCGCTAAACCGGCCCCACAACTGTGCTGTATGTCGTCGGTGCCATCACTTGACCACGTTTATTGATTGGCCAGACTACAGCAGCATATATATCGTACGAGGCACGGATATGTTTCTAACCTGTGGTCCACAAGCACCCGTGGAATACGTCGGCTTGACACAGATGTTAAGAATCGGGGTTAACCGGGCACTACGAAAACGTGCTGTTTTTTTCTCTACAATATTCTGCAGTTTTGAGAGGCAACATGCAAGTTCAGGGTTTGGCGGTTTGGCGGTTATAACTACATGGTGCTGGCACCCAGGTCGAACGTCCTGGGCACCTATTCCTGCTCTCAATCCCGAGCCGTTCGACGTTGTTGAGGGCGCGTTCGACGACCCGGGTCTGGATCGTGCGGGTCGCGAAACACGTATCACTTGATGTTGTCCAACGCCAGTCTTATTTTAGACTAAACACAGTAGAACAACCCGTAGCAACAGGCTGGGCATTATCGTAGCTACTCTCGCATCGATATCGACATTGAACTCTTACCGTGTTTTCACAACCCCATGTGTGTACCTTCTCACCCCCCCCCCCCTCAACAAGACGCAATTCCGCAACACGGATATGTTCCAACAGCAGTACATACGTATGTGCATTACCCGAACTTTTTGCGTTCAGGTATCCATGGAAGGGAACCCAATGGCATCCGCTAGTCCCTTTAAAGCCGACCAAATGGCCCCCAGGTTTCACCACAGCCAGCGTGAAGCCCCCGCGGCACGACCTTCATCACCGCCATCGTCCTCATCGTTGCGTGTGGCACCCTACTCTGGTCAAGATTTGGGTCAAGCACAGGAGGGGGCGATACCGTCGACTGCAGGGCAACCAGGGCGCCAGGCTTGCGATCATACCGACGGGAATCGTGCAGCGGGCACCGTAGAAGGTTCGAGGCTATGCAAGACACTTCATCCGACAGGCAGCCACAATCACCACGCGATATGCCATCGGATCCCTCCCTTGCACCGGGCGCTACTTCGAGATTTATTGAAGTTGTGCACGGTACACCAATCATCCTGAGATGCATGAAGTGAATGTTCAACATGGGTTTCTTCGGCGTACTTGATACCATGAGCCGTACAAACCAGCTGGTACTTGGGGCATACGTACGGCCATATACAGCTTTCATACGCTTCTGGTAATCCGCCTGACCCCTCACCCCCCATGGGCAGACAAGTCCGTTTCTTGCTGAGCCATGACCGAAGACAACTGCTCACACTGGTTTCATCCTCGTTTTCTGATTCGAAGGAGTTGTCTTCTGACCCCTGTTCTGTGTGCAGATCCCGACCTCTACCCGCTGAGGCCAACGACCGCCCTCAGCGCGGTAGCGGGAAAATCACCCTGCAAGTCTTCGTCTGCAGCACCACAACCTAGCGCTGTCGGCACGCGATTGGTATCGCCATGCCCGACATCTTCAGCTCTTACTGCCACCTCTGCTGCGAAGGCGTTGGTCGCCCAAACACCAGTACGCTGCCAGGTGCACACACACGTTCGGAAATTCATCGTGGCTGACTTGTCGATGTTGATATGGTGGGGTGCTGCCAACCGTCTTTACCCAAATGTTGAGAATGTCCCATCTTCAAGGTAAGCTACGTTTGAAGTTGGCAAATCCCGCCCTTTGCCAGTGATGCCCACGCAAACAACAATGCTGACTGGTTTCGACGAAGTAGGCTCGACGAGGTATGTGTCGGTGGAAAGCGTCCGTAGGTCCCGGGCACGGCTTCTTGCTACATGATGACGGCGTTGTAGTCAACGTGTGTTGGGTTGCCATGGAGTCCCGGTTTGGCATTCTGATATTTGCCGGATAGTTGCCCTTTTTGGGTGATCTGGAACGTCTCGTGTTTGATGCTTTCGAGGCGACTTGATGACGGCATAATATCACCTTTATTGTGCTCGTTGTTCCAACACACAGTACCCGGGGTGCGAAAGAAGAGCAAAATACGGCCCCAAAGATGAGCCACCTAGCGCATGCCAGGCGCACAAGAGGGCCGGCCAGTACACCACCAACCGACATGGAGACCTGTATAAAGCTACCCGTGATGGTGACGGTGAGATGCAGCATTTACACTCTTTGGTGTTGGTGTTTGTGTCCGTCAACGCGAAAGCTTCCTAGTCGAGGATGGATGCATCAGACAAAGGCTCGTTGGTCACACTGGTGCAGTTTGGTCTTGGCCTTGGTTGTTTCTTCCGCCGATCCTTCCAGATTTCTATTGCTCTACGCTGCTGTAGATCGTCATGGTCGCACCTACCATAATACGCTCACATCCCAATCTAAGACATGTCCGTGACCCGCCCGGCGTCACGCCAAAGAGACCGGGCATGTTTTGAAGATTTACGCGCATCCTAGAACATCTGCCCGTCTCTGAACGTTTCGGTGGCTTGTTCGTCACAACCCAGCCTTCAGAACACCTGCGGTGGTGACTACGGCCCGCTCCCCCCAACCAAGCACAGGCAACCCAGGCAAGTACCTGAGTGCGTGCCTTGTACACATCGCTTCCTTTTTCAGATGCACACACCATTTCAAGATGCCTGCACCTGGACCTGTTCATACTGTGTGTGTGAACTTTTGCTATATTGCTTCGGTCCACGCCCTGCCTTTCGTTCCTTTCCAGGGCAATGTTCTCGCTGACATGTGATACGATTGTTGTCTTCGGGAAGGAAGGAAACAGCTGAGGTGTGTTGTGCTGTAAACCCTCGCACTACGATACTACCCCTTCCAGGCCCAACAATAGCACTCTGTTGACCCAGAACGACCACACGACTGACTTAATTCTTCACATTTGTTCGCGACTTGCCGTCCGTCGTACGTGCATCGGCAGCGTCTGACCAATCTGGGCTGCCATCGAAAACTTATTGCGTCAACCCGTCTTCCTCACCTCTCCGGAAGGCGCCCGAGATGTCTTCCAGTACGGTGCCGGGGCTGAGACGTGAGAGGAAAGATAGAGTAGCGCAAGGGAAGGGGGAAATTTCCAGATGTATTTGTGTTATCCCCCCAGACCTATTCGCTCGGCATGTGCGACGGTTGTGGATGCCTCTCACAGCCTCGTAGACGCTTGTATTGCGGGTGTGCACTGTTCCGAAGCGCATTGGGCTCCCAACGGCGTTCGCTTGTTTCTGGCTCCTATGAGTTCAGTGCGAACCATCGCATAGCTATGCTCAGTCATCTTACTGCCTCCAAGCCAAACAACTCAGTTGACCTAGGACAACCTCACGGCTGACCTACTTGTTTACGTTTGTGCACGAATACCCACCCATCGTCCGTGCGTCGGCAGCGTCTGGCAAATCCGGGTTGCCGTCGAAAGCTTGCAGCGTCAGCTCCTCTGCCTCCCCCCCCTCGAAGACAGCCAAGACACCTCCCAATGAGGTGGCGGTGCTGAAACGTGAGATGACGGAGAGGGTTGTGGAAGTGAACGGGGCATGTGTAGATGTGTTCTATCCCTCAGATCTCTTCGCTCGGCACATGGGACGGTTGTCGATGCCTCCCACAGCCGCGTACGTAGACGTTTGATAACGCTGCTGCTTGCTGTGCGGAATTGCATAGGACTCCAAATTTCATCCACCTGTTTCGGGTTTCTACGTATTCAGTACAAACCTTAGCATTGCGATACTCAGCCATCATTTCTTCCAGGCCCAACAAAGGCACTCAGTTGACCCAGGACAACCACACGACTGACCTGCTTCTTTTAGTTTGTGCGCGTCTGACAAATCGATCGTATGCGTACGTGCGTCGGCAGCGTCCGACCAATCCGGGCTGCTATCGAAAGATTGTAGCGTCAACTCATCTTTCTCCCCCCGCCCGAAAGTAGCTAAGACACCTTCCAATGAGGTGGCGGCGCTGAATCGTGGGATGACGGGGAGAATTGTGGAAGGGAAGGGGGCATGTTCCATTGCAATTTGTGTTATCCCCAAGATATGTTCGCTCGGCGTATGCGACGTTTTCGATGCCTCCCATAGCCCCGTAGACGTGATACCGCTGCTGCATGCTGTGCTGAATTGCATAGGGCTCCAATGCCATTAACTTCTTCCTGTCTTGTTTGGGTTTATTTACTGTGCCAGCAATCAAGTTTTACTCGTTCTGTTCTTGTTCCTTCGTTTCACCGGCAGCTGGATGCATGTCAACTAAAGTACCCTAAGCCCACATCGGTTTACCCCAGATGGCACAATTAGGCTACGCATGTCACCCCTGCTTGTACGATTCCTGTTCCCAGGCACGAACCGGCCAGCACTCTCCACAGGGCGCAAAGATGGGAGTCAATCATCGCAGAAACGCGATTGCATCTTTCCGGGGTGAGGGGAGTCCAAATCGAAACCGCTCAGTCAACGATCGAAACTGAACAAGTACTGTTTAGCCGTAATGCCATCCCATTGTCAAGGGCGAAGAGTCATTTGTTGATAACTTTGGACTTGGCTGCCGCAACGGTCCTGTACACTCGTAGTTTTTCAGTATCGGAATCACACAGTTGTGAGCTAGTGTATTCTTTCGTTCGGAGGTTCCTGCAAGTAATCATACATTCAGATCGATGTCCACCAGACCCATTTCACGCGGAAACGGCACCCTATGTTGCGCTTTGGTTCGTTGTTTTGTTCGGTGGGAATCCGGTCAGATGCCATTTTTGAATAATGTGGAACGGCAGACCTTCGTTACAAGCGCTCCAGTCCTATTTTCGACGAATACCTACTTTTGTTTTTTCGCCCCGCCCCGTCCCGTCAGATGTAAAGCTCGACCCACCCATGGTCTACCTGGTGCGGTACGCGCCGTGTACTGCGGCTCCCACAAGAAGGGTGTCATGGTGCATCTCTTCCAAGAATCGCCGGACGTCTCAAACAACGTTAAGGCTACTGGAAGCACTGTTGAGGGAGATATCCCAAGGTCATTTTCGGTTCTTGTTCTGTTCATAGCCGCGACGGCGGTCTGACGTATTAGGCTTGTTGGCATCCCTTCCCGTTCATGTCACGTGACAGCAATGTGCGCTGTTCTTATTGCAAACTTCGCAACCTGTATGCCGGAAGCCTCTGTAATTTCCTTGTTACTGTTTTCCCTTGGGTTGATACAGTTCGGACGCAATATGTCCGGTTTGTTAATCCGAAACGCTGTGGATGAGTGGAAGATGCCCTATTGTCGTAATAGAATCGTCCGTAACCCAGGCGCTCGCGATCGACGATTAGCGTCTCAATAGATTTTTACGCCCTCCCATTGCTTCTTGTTTCGCGCCGTTACAGCAAGAAGACCACCGGCACAACTCCACGCCAGGCTCCCACCGTGGCAGCAGGAGTACCCCAAGGAGAGGCTCGAGCGCCTTCCAACGTAGACAAGACCGGGGCTAACAAAGCGTGGCAAGGCCGAAAGGCCACGAAAGATCGTGATTCCACCGACGGCGGAGACAAGAACAGCAGCAGCAAGAAGCGCCGTGGAAGTAATGGTGGCAAGGACAATCGAGGAGAGGTTTCCAAAGTCAATGCGACCAGAGAGGATCTACCGACAACAGTCTCTGTCGAGACTACTGTCTCATCCCTGCGGTCACCAACCTCAGCAGCCGCCACCAAACCCCTGTCCTCTCCGCCCAACCGGTCGGGCGACACGGCTGGCATGGCCCCGTCCGTTGAGTTCCATCTCTTAAGGCAGGCCAGGGAAGTAGCTAAGAAGGAAGCAGCGGCAAGTGGCGGAGGGAGGAGGCCCCGAGCGCCGTCCCGCAGGGCCCTGGAGGCATCGGGGCAGCTGAAGCACGATGGTGCTCAATGGATGACGCGGGAGAGAAAAGCGGAGGAAGCTAGGTTCAAAGCTGAGCTAAGAGAGCAGAGAAGGCAGTACAAGGCGGCGGGCCTCAAGTCTGGAGTTGTGCTGGAGGCGTTCGTGGCGGAGGCTGCGGGGACCGGGACAGCGGGCGACGGCGTCGGTGGCGGCGTTGCAGGAGAACTTGGAGTGGGGTCGGCAACAACAAAGCACGGTCGTGATCCCGCCTGGCAGAAGGTGTCGCCGGGAATTCTCGCGGCGTCTCCGGAACAGGAGCAGGCCACGGAGCAGGAGGAAACGCTTTCGCCATCGTCAGAGAGACCTTCAAAGCGACCCAGGCCACCCGCAGCGCCCAACAGCACACCTCGCTCCGAGTCCCCCAATATGGTGGAGGACTTGTCGGGCATTCTGGACGGTCCTTCGTCCAACGGGGTGGCGTGACGTGGCGGTGTTGGTGCTGTCGCTGTGATCAACGCTCAAGCCGCCAAGACCGGCACTGAGTGGGCTTCCAGGATTCTCGAGCCACGACATAATTTGTCATGACAGGGAGACGATGACCGAGATGAGAAACAAAATGGTACGGGATGAAAAAAACGCAACCGTTTTCGAAAGAATGAATGGGAGCTGAAAGGGACCTAAGTTGCTACAGCTTCAGAGTCAGCAGCGATGGGAAGGTAGACCGTAGAGAGGAATTCCAGTGATACTTGTAGCAGAGATCCGATCCTGTTTTTTTTTTTTGTGAGTTAGTTCGACGTTTAACAGTTGTACCCGGTGAAGTACACGTCATTGTTGGGCGGTGGTCTTGAGGTTTCACTCCCGGCGTTTTCGTGCAATATGAGGCACATTATGTTGTGCAGTGAAGTTCTCCCGCGGGTTGGTTTTGTCGACGTCGTCTAAGGGGTATGCATTTGGCTGAACATAGAAGAGCGAGTCATTTCAGGCGTTTGATTAAGGGGGCATATGGTTCAATGATGGAAATTCATCTTGTGGTTTGACGACAGCCGCGTGGTACGGTCTGCTGCTTCAACAACGGAATGACGACAATGTTTGATTGAACGTGCCGACTCTAGCGTGCTTTTCTGTCATGCGGAAATGATTATTGTGGTCGGAGACCGCATGACCACATCCGACGTAACGGTGTTGATCCGGAGAGGGGTCTACACATGGTATTCTAGCTAAATAGTAAATGCCGTGTTCTCAGTAGATCCGGGAGACATCAATCATACCTTCGAAGTACGTGGAGTGACTAAGTCATGATTTCATGTGCAATGTGCGTGGTGCGGGTTCTTCGATGCTGCCCGTCCACCCCATACGTCTCCCAACTGAAACATTAATGGATGTTTTCCCCCGCAGCAGAAATAATAGTGAACAAATCCTAACTATTCTGTGTAATGGGAGTATACGGCGAACTTGACCCATCGCAGTTGAACATTCGCCCAGTACTTCTCGCAAACGTCGACGAAACGTTATCTCCTGATTTGTTCACATCGAGGACACAGCAGTGCAATACGTCATACCCGTTGCTCAGAAAGGGTATGTACGTTCGAGTTTTGTTTCGCGCTCTTTCCCCCACGAATTCCGTAACGGATCCCCCGAAACGATATTGGGAGTGCAGCACCGAGGATGTGTTGATCTATGGCGTTGTCGTTGGCTAAAGCCACTGCGGTGGACATCACTTTTTCGGAAACAAATGACGTGAAGAGATGGCACGCTTTGCTTACGCGCGCGCAAGAAACAAATCGAAACCGCAAACATTCAAGTGCACCCGCTCTTTCTAGTGCAAAGACGAAAACCATCGCTCACCAATTCTCATAAAATGTCTTCCTAGACGACCGTAAGTAGCAACCCCATCATGGCGGGAGCGCGACGGCGTGCACCGGACACCATAAGTCAATCCGATACGCTGTCGTATTGCCCCCCAGGGAAATGGCCACACGTTTAGCAAGACTGAAGGGCAGCTACTCTCGGCGCAGTTCTCCCCGCGGTTCAAACACATTCGTACCAAAACATGACATGCAAACTGCATGATCTACAGTGAAAGAACCCACCGAGCTATCGGCACGCAAGCCCATGGTACAGTAGGTGTGCAAGTAGTCCGCTTTGAATAGGACACGAAGCTCTGATGTTGAACGAAAGTATACTTGAAGGAAACACACGCTCTAGCCAAAGGCACCATGCGTGTCCTTTCGAGCTCGGAACGTGTATTCACCAAAAACTCAAGTATTCATTCCAGCCAACCCCTCGTATCGATCATCCCTTTAACACTTGCGGGTAGCACGGGTAGGGCGAGATACGACGGTGGGGCGAGATACAACGATCGACAAACATGAAATACTCTAGGAATAAGCGACCCCCCACTCAGGCGGCGAGTTAAGCCCTTGCTCTCCTGTGCATTTCTGATGTTTTTGCCTCAACGGCGGCGAGAAAACGACGGGAAACATCACGTGTTCGCTAACTGGAGAGCCTCATGAGACGGATCTCCCCTATCATCTTCCTCAAAACCCACATAGGTAAGACCGCAGACACACATGCGACGAGTGGATATACTGAAATGCAAACAGATGAGACACCTGAATTTGATGCAGAACCGGCGTGCTGCGGGCAGCCCGTGAACGTCAAACTCTACCTCCACCCACATATTGAAAAACTCGAGATGATATGACGTGACTCCAAAATCACACCGTTGGGCAGGACCACGGGGTGGGCAGGATCGCCAGCTTTCCCACCCGATAGGCTGAAGTTGACCACTGCAGCCGCTACGTCAGCAACCAAGCCCAACTCGTGATGCTCGGAAACAATATCCCGTCAGACGGAATTTCTCAATGGGGTTTCCGAGGACTTCCAGGTTCGACAACGACCGCAGTTCGATCGGAAACGCGCAGCCTGGAGTCCAACTGGCGACATATTTATTGGAAGACTGATGCCACTGACAAATCTTCGACGGAGCTGAAATCATGATCTCCGCCCGATGCTCCCTCGAATACCGCAAACACGGCGTTTTTAGCGAGAGCTGCTCGCCCTTTCTTCATGCCACCGACCTAGCGTGTCAAGCACAACAGGTGGATGGCTCGTCGATGAACAGAGAGCAGCGACAGTTACGAGAACGACGATACCGCAACTGACATTGCACTATGGCATACTACTCTAGCCAAGCTCCACAATGATGACATTTACTTACCTCTTCCCCGACGAACAGGATGCGATGGAATCGAGCTGATCCTTTATCGTCGCCCACCCTAACTCCACAAAAGGCTACCATCGAATCAAGAAGGGTGGAACAGAGCTCCGATACCCCGCCGATCCCTGACCCGAGCAGCTTTATCACTGAGTTCGATCCCTGGGCGCAAAAAGTCGAGTGGAGGCGACCGATACGGGGTTCTCTTGACGGGGGCATCGGCGACGGGTTCGCTGTTCTTCAGGACCGCACCGCATGAGTCGCGGGCCTCTGAGGGAGTGAGGAACACATCATTTTGGGTCTCTGTAGCTTTTTGTAATTCCAGAGCAACCAGCATGTCGAGATGTCGGCGCCCACACCTAATGCGGGCGCGAAGTCTATCGAAATCTTCAGCATCCAAGCCTGGTTGATTTGAAAGCACATTGATCTGGTGCGTATTATACTGTAGACTGCATGTAGCATCACACAGTGTAGTACGATCGAACGCATATGTAGAAGAGGTTCTTTGCATGACCACAAATGCCACCTCCACAGTAGTAGTCGAGAAGCCAAGGTCGTTCACAATAAACGCGGGTACACTACAGCAGTACTGCCGTATTGCGAGAAGACACCGGCGGGTGCATGATTATTCCGCATGACATGCGGTACTAAAGTACGGTATACATACAATAGGAGATGAAAAAGAGACAGCACATAAATGAACACGTTCAGACCTCGGCGTATGTGAAGGCACACCAATTCGTCTGAGGTTCGCCGTCCGTTCGAATGCTCGCCCAAGCTTCCGCCAAGCTGGCATCAGACACATCAATGCCCGACGAACGCTTCGTCGTGTGGAGGGCTTTGGCTTCCCCCACTTGCATCTTCAGGTGTGGGGCTTCAGAACAGCTTGTGCGGCGCCTGCAAGCTTCTTTCGCAGTGCAAAATTGTTGAATCTACGGATCTCACACCCTCTGACTCGCACCCACGGAGGCCACTGCGACAACTGCAACAAGAACACGGTGCGAGAGCACAAGAACACAAACGCGGCAAGTTGAACGCGGCGGGATGGGGGCCGACAGCTGAGAGTATATAGGGGTAGTGGATGCACCCGGGGGCTCCGCGGGGACGGGACTGTGAGTCTGACTTGCTGTGTATGCAAGAGTGCCAGCGTGCCAGCGACGGCGAGCGACCGGAGAGGGAAGCTCTCGGCTTATCGCCCGAGAAGAGCTACTTGGAGTTGGTGAGCCCTCTCTTTTGTCAATCTACAGCTGACGTTCGGTTTGGGTGGGTAGAAGGCTGTCCGCTGTTGCATGTCTGACGTCCGCGGTGAACTGACACGTACTTGTATTCACGTTGCTCACGTACGACCCGGATGTGAGCGACAGGTTCTATATAGTAGTTGAGACGTTGGAGACATTGGAGTTGAGTGTAGATCAGACATGTGGTATATATTTCATTAATATGTTGTGCAGGACTTGGTTAAGCACTTGTGTCATTTACTCCAACCTGTGGTTACACAGAGGGTTCCTCTCCCTGAGGCACCCCTCCGGCGGGACTTTGCCTTCGATTTTCAATGCGAGAACAAGCAGGGCAGCACACCCCTTCCCTCTCTGTACACGCGAACTACTGTATGTAGCGCTTTCCACCCTGGCCAGGAAAGAAAGCGAGAGAATTTGCAAAGGCTCGCTTACGCCGTGATTCAAACCCCTGATCCTGGCCACGAGAAGGTTTTCGAGGATACCAACTAGACCACCGGGGCGACCGGTAGACATTGACCACAACTTCTCAGAATAGACAAGGCGTGGTGAAACTCCGCATTTGAGCATTTGCAAGCATTAGACGGTTTCGGAAGTATTATTGGCAAAAAGTAACTTTCACTTTTAACAGCACCGTTCCTGGTACCAGTCCCGTTTTTTCCGAAGGTTTTACTTTTAACGATATGATGTCACGATGTCACCAGGAGGGAATCTCATCAGCACGGCCCGCGACCAAGTCACCATATCTCCCTAACAGATGCTTGCATTCGGGTGAAACCTTCGACGCTGTGTGCTCCACAGCTCTGAGGTACCTTGCCACCAACCGAGATGGGTCTGAGTGGAGCGTTGTGAGCGTCTTGTGAGAGAGGACGCGACGTTTTTGAGCTGGAATGCATATGCACGCACCCAGACAGGGTGTGCGCACGCAGCAACAGACGCACGCAGCACGCCCAAACGCTCGTCGCTCTCTCGCAACGCATCCCGCCAATCTTCAAGTCAGAGCCAACAACGCACAAGGCAGCAAGATGCCCTAGGAATTGTTGTGGATCATGCTGCACTACATCGTGTTGGGCGATCGATGCGAGTGTAGTAGGTGTCCAGCTGCTGCTACTGTGGCGGGTGTGTGTGTGTTCGAAAAAAATATGAGCGAGCTGTGGCCCGACATCAATTGGACAAGTCTAAACCCTCGTCAGCGCCGAAGCAGGAGTCCTCCCACTGCTGGCAGTAAGCTCTACGACCGACCGCGGCCATGCGTTGGTGGGGTGAGGTGTGCAACAGCACCCATCCTGGCGTGGTGTTGACCAAAGCAGCTAAAAGCTAAAAGATGAAAAAACTTGAAAAAGTTCAGCTCAAACAGACGCCAGCTGCCCTTCGTGCTAACAAAATCTTCTTGAGGTCGAAAGTTCATTTTTATGGCGGCCAAAAACTGGATATTTTCCCTAGAAAGTGAAAGTGAACTTTTCAAAACGAACATCCGAAACTCACCATTGGAGCTATTTTAAACTCGAAATGGAGGTCGGGGGGACTTGTTTGCCCAAGGACCAAGGGTGCCGGGAATAAATATTTTCTGACACCGACTTTGTTTACCCTCCAGAGGCGCTGAGGGGGTATAGTAAAATGAAGTAAACTATTTTTTTTTTTACTTTTCTCGCAATTACGGCACCACTGATTTTTTTTTCATTTCGACCTCTCTATTAATAGGACGTGGGTGTCGTTTTCACTTTTCTGTGGGCACCACAAGGACAGAAGGTTAATTTTGGGGTTATTTAGGGTGTGTCTTAGCCGCTTTTGTGCGCCCCGAGTTCCCGCCCCGACCCCGAGCTAGAACAGAAAGCCGTACAGAACTCGGGGACCAAAGTGTGGCGGGTTCTAACCGTTTTTCCGTACAACAGAGCCCGAGTAGGAGTTGAGCGTGCGGCCAAACAACGAATAGGCTGTGGTTGAGGTTGAGCTGGTTTGTAGTTGTGTGGAGATGTGGACATGGGGCTGCGGCCAGGGAGCTGCGCGGGCCGGGAGCACCCTCCGGCACAAACTTTGGAGGAGGAGGGGGAAACCACGGAGCGCGGCGGCACACGCTGCGGTTTATATCCATCCTCAGTTGCGATACTGACTGGTGGTTTGCGGTAGTGGTGGCAGCAGCTGCTGCCGCTACTTGTTGCGCTCCTGTTGTTGTTCACCATACGAGGACATATTCTTGCGGTCACGGATTGGCTGTGGAGCCCTTTCGTATGTGGTGTGCGGGTGTGGAGAATATCCCTCGTGCCGTGTGCAACTAGGCTAGAGCACGACACCGACAGCAGCAGTACAGCAGTCGTGCCGTCTATCCTTTAGGAAAGAATTTGCAAACTTACCTCGACGAGACCACCTTTTGGGAACTCGGGTTGCGGTTCGCGCAACTCGGGTCTAGAATACATCATTATTACTATTTAGCTTTTTTTCATCATATGACCCATCGAATTCATCTCTATCGAAGAAATTAGTCAAAGACAGATTAGCAATGAATCCATAGAGTCAGCCATGGCGTTCTGACCCCGAGTTCAGTTTGCTGGGACTGCAGGAGGAAAAAATACAAATATCGTCTTTTCATCATGTCACCCAGTCAAACCGGGGGTTCTGTGGATCTTTCTGTTCCAACTCGTGGTCGGGGCGGGAACTCGGGGCGCACACCAGTGGTTAAGACACACCTTTTTTTTCCCGGCCGATATGAAACTCGAAATGAATTTAAATCGGGGATTTTCCGGGCGAACACGGGACTGTTCGCTCCAGGGCCGGAGGGATCCCCCTCCTCGAAAACACACTCGCGCTCGTCATGAAACGAGCTGTGCCTCGCCTCCTGCTGCTGTTGCTGAACGCGGCAGCGAGGGTATTGGCGTTGACGGGTTCGAGAATGGCCACTTCGCGGACTCGTCTCTTGGCTGACAATCCCCAAGCTGCTGTTCCGCTGACTGCGACTGCTGCGTGTCCCAGCGAAGGCGCTGTTCATGCTCCTGTATCTCGCAGCGTAGCCGGTCTTGGGGGTGTGTTGTGTTTGGAGGCACTGCCGCTCTCCCGCTTGCTGGCTGTCAAAAAGCTGCTTCGGTAGATCCTGGTACGAGTAGGCCGCGGCAGCCATGGTATGCAGACGCTGCACGACCCTCACCGGCTGTTCGCTGAACGTGCAGCAACCCGATGTGCCACTTGCGATCTGTGCGTGGGAGATCCGACGTGCGTGATACGCGTGGGCGGTTTGCCGCAGGAAGAGCGCCGGGGCTGTTTTTCCGGAACAGAAATGTACCTTTGGGGCTCTGGAGCTCTGAAACTAAGAATTATGGAAAATGGTTACTTTTGGTTTATCTACCCCGCTGATTTACTACAGAAGTGCAGCTAAATTTCGGAATTTCCGGGAGTTTTATTAATTGTATATAACTCACTTGCGTTTTTCTAAGTTTGGCCAACAATTGAATCCAGGGTTCGGTCATGGGGAACTCTCTTGTGCGCGAAAAATGCATACTAAACCGTAAGCAGCCGTTCGGCTCCCGGTCCCTGCCACAATAATCCATAATCCGCCTTTGCGATGCCGATGTTCGCTGTTGTTGTACGTGATTTCGTGGGGCTGGCCGGCAGGGACAACGAAAGCCTTCCAGCACGTGCCAAGGTCAACATCAAGGGAGAACGCGCAGCAGCAGGAGGCACGCCGCCCGTGCTCACCGGCGTTGCACGGATGGCGACGCCGGCAAACCCACCCCCAGCCCTGTCGTCACCTGGACCGCCAGCAACAACAACATCGCCGACCAACTCTGGCGCCATCGCAATGGATGAAGGATGGCACGGAAAAGTCGAAATAGATTCAGGTGCCCCTGCCGTTGCAACTGCTACAGCCACAGCGAAAGCATCACGAGACACCCCAACAGCCCCGGCGGCATGGCAATCCGCTTCTTGCTCGGAGGGGGCTGTGGGCACCTCCTTGGAGAGGTCCGTGGACCTGCGACCCCCTTCAAAACAAGCCAAAGAGGAGGGCAGCGTAGCTGCCCCCACTACCACCGGACTGGAATGCATGTCCGCCATCTCGACCACGGGGCCAGGACCAGAGGCTAATGCCCCAGCTGGAAGCGGACAACCCTCGTGTGGTGGCGATTCGAAGGCTGCTGCTGCTGTTGGAACGATGAAACCTAGCGGCAGCGGCGCGAGTAGTGATCCAGCCGGTTCTGTTGTTTCCAGGGCGGGGGCAACGGGAGATGGAGCTGGAGTGGTAGAATCGCCCCGTTCTCTGTCGGCTTGGCTTAAAGAGGTGGGTGGAGCGGGAAAATAGGAAACGTCATGCTGTTGTCGTTGTTTTTCCCATCGTTGGTGATACTGTTGCCGTTGTGTTTAATGAGGGGGTGAATCCTACCACTTGCGCCTCTTGAGTGATCTCGTGCTGCCAGCTCAATACCTCACCCTACTCCGACAGCATCCCCACAACCCGTGTATGTGCTGTGTTTATGCTCTCCACCTACAGGGCCCCTTCGTGCTGTCCATGTCACCTGGATTCTTTGGCTTTTACGCCCACATCGGAGCTCTGATTGCCCTGGACAATGAAGGCCTCCTCAATGAGGTTAGTTCCTGCTACATACTTGTGGTCGACTTGAGAGTAGGCGCAATCCCGCCGCCTCGCTCTCAGGCGCCGAATGGAGGCCTGCGGTGCACCCTCAGCCTGAGCTAGAATTCCTTACGTCTATGAAGTCTTTCCACCGTGCGCAGATAGAAGTAAACATTTTTGAGGACGCGGACACTCACATCTTCAAGAGGCATCGAATGTTGAATGTGCTGTAACCGACAGCAGTGTAGAGTCCAACGAGCACATCGCCCGCCACAGAACATCAACCAGCACAGCGTAGATATAGCGACACAGATAGGTGCGGCAGGCACACATCTAACCCGCCACAGTCATTGATCTCAAGCCTGCCGAACTTCCCCGACACGGAGAGAGCAGTCTCACCATGATGATACTGCAACCGCGCAAGTTGCGTGCATACAAGACGCAACAAACGCAAGCCGACAGCAGAGGCGCACAGTAAGCAAAACCTGAGCCGATCGTGGGCAACCGCGCCCCGTGAGAACGCACAGAAGTAGTAGACCCTCAAGCCCTCAGAGGTTTCTCTCGACCTGCTTGTCCAAGGGCGTGAGCCATGCGACCGTCAGCTTCCGGCTATGTATGTATTTGTGATGACGGTATGTATGTGCAACGTTTGTATATGTGTGTGGAGCAAGCTGCATGATGATCTCTGCTCTGCCGATCTCTCTCAGCGAGCAGCTGGTTGGTGTGCTTGGACCCACGCAACAACACAACCCGCTATCTATGTAGGAGCACATGGCGCATGACTATATACCCACGACCGTGCGGTGTAGGTCGTCGTATAGGCTCGGCTTCCGCTAATAACGATAGCTGGCCTGGATGTATGTGCGGGGGAAACAGATGCTCGGGGTATCCGTTCGAGGTTGTCGTTGTCTTCGCCACTTTGCAAAGATAAGTATGTGCATACCGACCTCTCGACCACGACATACATTGCTCGACTGCTGCTGGAACCTACATACTATACATGGGGCTGCACGCTGCTGTATGTAGTTCATTCATCAGCAGTCGCTCTGCAGACACCGCCACACGTGGCTCGAGTCGTTCTGGGGCATTTGGGCGTCCAGCCAAGCCGGAGACAGCAGTCCACAACGTCTCTACGCGTATGACAGAACTAAACAGAAAAATATAAAGAAGTTGCGACTCTTTCACACAGACAGACAGGTTCCTGGCCGGAAAAATGACTTGAAATTGCATCCGGTCAGGGGCCTTCCTCCGACCGTAGTTCTGTCCTGAAGACAAATCGTCCGTGCCGTGTTGTGTGTGACCTGATCTCAGCCTCTTTTCTGGCGTTTTTACGTGGCAATTGACCAATCAGTCACCACTTTTTGGTTGCCTGTTCACAGCAAGCAGCAGTAGTAGTTGTAGCCTACTACACTACTACTGTTCGAACCGCTCTCTTCTCTCTCTCTCGTGTATTGCCAAAACTTTATCATTTGGGACACATCAACACCACACCATCATCATGAATGATGCTGCGGTCGCCGCCTTGCTGTATGCACGCTGGATATAAACGCTTCTTCTGTGCGCCACCCACACGTATACGCTCACTCCCCAACCGTTCTAGCAGCTGTTGCCCCAACGCTGAGCTGTTGGCATGTTCTGGCACTTTGGGTTCCACAGCAGAACAGCTGATGCCGAGCAGCCGCGTACGTATTTTGTTGAAGCTGGCGTCTTCTGCCGGGCTGTTCGACACGACAGGCTACGAATGGCCCGACAGTTGGCACGACAATCAGTGCACAGTCTTCTTACAGCCCAAGGAAATCAAAGAAAATTCCTGTAAAAAAAAACACATCTGTATATAGTTGTATTTTCCTGTTGTGGTAGTTACCGACAGGTTCCCACTTATGTCGACAGCATTCGAAGGTTCTAGTCAACACGGCCTGACCGGGCTCCTTGCGTTCCCTCCGTCGCTTAAGCTACTGGCGCTGCTACGTAGGTTCCGCCCGTACTCCACACTTGTCCATCTATTCTATTGTAGCATCATCAGCTGCGCCCCAGCTCATGTATCACCCATTTCGGTGCAAAGCTGCATTTGCTCAATGTACGCTTTGCAATGCGTACGGCGTATTGCTGCAGTGCCTGCCGTGCCTATTCGACTCGTTCTGGCTTTGGTGGAACCCCTGCCCGAGTCTGCATGTCCCGTTGCACCCAGCACGGAATATTCGAAATGTGATGCGGTGTGAAGGCCACAGCGAAGTCCGGGATCGCAGTTTGTCGTACACAACACCGAGAACAACGGCTGCGACATCGCGGTCATCGACCGCGAAACCCGTCGTATCCCTTCACAGGCAACAGGAACAAATGTTAAAATGATCCGCGGGGTGATCGAGCGCTTGGTGCGTCTCTCTTGTTTGTTTATACGTAAGGTGAGCTTCGCCACAGGGGCGAGCGCTGGTGGTCTGGTGGCCGGACTGTTCGCGGCTGGACTATCACCCACCGACATGGGTGAGACCGTCGTGAAGTTTCGGCGGTCTGACTTTTGGGACCCCGTGGGTTTTGGGGGGCTCCTGCGCGGAAAGAAGTTCGAGGTAAGAGTAGAAGCGATGAGTGAGTGAAACCAACCCAACCCAACCCGCTTTTTTTTGTCAAGGTAATTTTGGTCGTAGGTTTGCTGTCTGCTGTCATGATCTCCACGGTTTTTCCCTCCAGGGGTTCGATCTCCGCTCTCCTTGAGCATTGCTCGTGACTGTCGTTCCGGCCCCGATGTTTTCCTCGGAATAGCGTACACGCGGCTCACGCTTGTGGTGTTCGTGCCGAGTGCTCCCGCCTGCTTGCTCCTCCCCGTCGCCCGTACTCGAATCACGCTGTGACGGGCGATCTGGGTGTTTTCAGATCGGGCCAGGGGCTAACTTGGCTGCCTCAAACAGAGTAGTACCCCAAACACCAGCACACTAACGTATGCAGAAACAGCCACGCTAGCAAGGAGCGGGAGTACAGGAGCAGTCAACCGGATGTTGGAATCAAATTGTGTGCGCGATACCACCGGAAACTGACACCGCATAAGGGAAACGTCTTTATGGCGACATGTCATTTTTGTCAAGTATCTCTGAATCCGAAGGCTGGAAACGCCCGATCAGTCTCCTTCGCGACCCGCTGTCACCCCCCCCCCCCCGCCACCGTGGTCTAGAGGGTTTCTGATTTTTTTTTGTTCCCGCTAACCTCTTCCGTTTTGGTCGGACGCCGTCGATGCTTGTCAAAGAAGTTATATAGCTGCACACAAAGAACTAGGTACTTCACGAATAGTCCCTTAGAATTTATGTTCATGTTGTGCGTACTGTTTGACGTAAGAATACAGCAGAGACACACACGTCATAGATCAGCGAACGTGCCGCATTGAACCGTTGAAGTACGGTACGCATGTGTATGCGCGGTGTTCGTTGTCGTACAAGCAGGACATAGTGAAGGGGACCCTCCCGGATGACGTGCGTCGATTCGATCAAGGCCGGATTCCCCTGGCGGTCTCGGCGTTTGATGTGTCCCGCCTGATGACGAGGACACTGGACGAAGGGTGTATTGCCCAAGCCCTCCGAGCCACGTGCACCTTCCCGGGCCTCTTTGCCCCGGTCTGGCACGACCGAGGTGTTTTGGTGGACGGTGGGGTGCGGGACACAACCGGTACGCCCTCCGAATTCGCTGTCGTTTTGGTTTCCGTGCTTGTTTTAATCGCGTGTTGCTGCTTCTTCGACGTTTTTCGTGAGCAATCGGCTATCGTGTGTGTGGGCCTGGCCCCTCCCCGACCCCAGGCCCATTGTGGTCTATGGTGTCCACACCGAAATAAAATGCGGAAAGGTTGGGAATATCTGTTACAGCGTGTTGTTGACTCGGTGGACACACGAAATATCCATTATCACATGACGTTGTTTGAGTAGAAAACGTAAAGAACAATTAACTCGTCGTGAACGGTTTTCACAGTTGCGAACGCTCACCCTCTACCCCCGCTCGCACGCTCGAGTCGTTAGGAATGGTTGTGATTGGGATGTTGGTTGTGACTAGGGGGCAGCTGGCTGAGCAGAAACACTCGACAGGTGGAACGACTGGTCTAGACGTTCGTTCTCAAGCGTATGCTCTCCCTCCCTTTCCTTCTTCCTGTGTCGCACCCTTGGAAAAGCTTGTGTGTTGTTCGTGCCGCGCTCTATATCTCAATGTCTATTAATTTCGTTACCCGTTCGCGCTTTTTACTGCCGATGATGCTGGTGCGATCGCGGGCAGGCATGTGGTGCGTGCCGGAGGAGCGACAGGACTGCCGCCGCATTCTGAACGTGACCTTTGGTAGCAGGAACGGCAGGGGCGTGTGCGTGCCGCCTTCTAGGTATGTGGCTGTACCTTCTAACGTCTGTGCACCCTCCACCCCGCCGGTTTACTCTCTTTTGAACGTAGGAAGACCCCTAGTTTTAAGGGGGCTGATATTTGGTTGGGCGGCCAGAAGCCTCTCGCCCTGCTTCAGCCAAGAAGTGGGTCGTCTTCGATCCAGCGATCAAGCGTTTGGGGATGAACTCCTTGGAATGTGTGTCATAGAGAGGTCTAAGTTGTATTCCGTTCCCTCGTCGAGCGACGAGGAGACTGGTCGCCCCACGTAAGCAGACGGTGCCGTTCGCAGAAATGTCGCACAGCCTGTTTCTGCGTGTGCGGGATGTGCCGTTCGCAAGCGCCCGTGTGTGGTGGTGGTCGAGGCAAAGTTGCCAGCGACTAATATTCAGTTTGTGAGAGCGCTCACACTCTGGAGACCCCGGAGCAGCAAGCCATGGCACGTCGGATTGGCACCGGCCATCAAACTCTGGCGTCGCTCCGTGGTCTGCACAGTTGTCCTGCTGTGTATTTCGCTCCTGTATAAAGCCGCATACACAGCGCCAAGGCGAGACAAATGGTTGGGTAGCAGAGCCGGGAAAACGACGTACCAACGTCATAGGCTGAGTTATCAATGATCAATACAACCTCGGCAGCAGCACGAGCGAGACCTTTTCGCGTGGTGCTCGCAACATGAATCCAGCAAAAGGGGTTTGGGCGCGAACAGAGAAGCGCGAAGTCACCCAACATCAATACACAGCCGTCCAACCTTGAGTCAGTTTGCTTACTGCGGATCGAATTATTCATTGGGGGGATTCTATTCTCTTTGTTCACGCATATTCTTTTTGACACTTATCGGACTTATCGGGATCTCCGACTCGTCCAACCTGCAGCCGTTATTTCAACGTCGGTCATATCTTGTACGTTCAGTTTCCCTACCGCGTCCAATCCACGGCCTGCCCCTGACGGAATGGAGATCGTGTCTCTTCCGCTGGCTGGACTACCGAGGCCCCATCCGTTTGCCATGGAGCGAGGCGTGGATGCGATGGAGGTGTGTGTGTATGTGTATGCGTGTGCTTTGTCGATTAGCATCGACCGCGCTTCGTGTTCGTCTGTAGTTGTATTTCTCGTTATTGCAGGAATGTCGTAAATTTTGCTGCCTAGCATGTATGTCGTCTCGGGTCGTACAGGTGGTGCGGGTCGTCACAGTTGTCGAAGTGCGTTTTGTATACCTTTGGGTACGTTTCTGACCAAACTTGCCCGTGAAACTGGCCAAAATTCGTCGATTTCAGCCCGTCCTTAGAAGTGTGTTTTGTGCCCCTCAAGTACGAACAAACCGTCTTTGTCGGCACGCAGTGTACATACGCCTGTCAACGCCACAACGGGAACATGCTTCCTACTCCGGGGGATTCCCCGAAAGAAGGCTGTCTAGCCTGAGGATCTGGAATTCGTAAAAAAGAACATTCATTGAAAACTACACTATGGGCAAGTTGTGAATATTTCGTCGGTTAGCGTCGAATGTGGAAGCTCTCTAAGTCAGCCAGGAGACACCAAGATGTAAACGGCGTGATGATTTTTGGCTGCCTCTCCAGGGCACGCCCTCGGCCATAGAAACCTGTCGAGCCCGCGTGTCAATGGATAGAACGTCGCACCCGACCGAGGCCTACGACGACAAGTGATGGCCCCCACGCCCCCCGCTCCCGTCTTTGGCGGTCTTACGCGGGACTTCGTCACCCACAGGCGGCTCGGGACCAAGTTGCTGCAGCAATAGGAGAGCCCCTCTTGAAAGGGCATGGTCGATCTCATTGGATCGCCGCCACTACGGCGACCCAGCCACCGCCGGCCAAGCGCGCTCGCCGAGACGGTAGCGGCATCCCCAGGGAGAGTTGCGTTGCCGCCAGCAATGAAGCAGTCTGCAGCAGCGGCGGCACCAGCGCAAATGGGGAGCTTGGGGGGGCGGCAGTACAGGGCGGCGTAGCAGAGGTGAAGCAGGAAGGTGGCACCTGCGGGTCTAGCAGCGGCAACAGCACTCCCAGCAATGGCAGCCGCAGTAGCAGCAGGGAGGTGGCGACTGGTACCGCCCCCGTCGGCAATGGCATAGTCCTTCCAAACAGAAGCGTGGCTGCAACTAGGCTTGCTTGTCCCGCCGTAAGGGCAGACAAAGGCACGGCTGCGCCGGTGGGGTTGGACGGATCAGCAGTCGCAGGAGGCTGTCCGAGGGGCGCAACTGCGGCCACGAAGGGCGCAGCTGCGAACACGCATGACACCGGGCTGGTAGACGGAGGAGCCGACCGCAAGAGGAAAGCCGAAGGGCCGCTGGTGCCACAAGCTGCATTGACGCAGGGGGGCTCCAAGAAGAACCTCCCGTCGCATGACATTACGTGCCTGGGCGAGTACAAAGAGACCGCAAAATCGTCAGGTGGCGCAGTGACTCCCAGCGAAGCTCACACAACCGGAGCAGCTAGCGGAGGCGGCGCTACCCGTGCCTCGGGTAGTGTTGAAGCCGCGGGTGCGGAAAACCTAAGTGGGTATGGAACGGCAAATCCGCCCGCACGTCATGAAGGCAAGCGAACTTTTGAACATGTCGGCAGGGAAGGGTCAGTTTCACCGTCTCGCATGACGAAGAGACCCCGATCGCCCACAGCTCAGATCACGGGATAGTATATGCAGCATGTTCGTCTTGTGGATTACAGCGCCCTAGATTGATTTGAGGTTTGGAATGGGCGGAGTTTTACGGCAGGGGCTCGGGGGATGGGAGAGCATTTGGCGGCCGCAGCGCGTCCATGCTCATGTCAAGCAGAATTTGCCCCGCGAAGATTTGGCACTTGCCTTTCTTCGGATCAGACCAGTTACATTTGGTGTCATAATTGTCTTGGCGTGCGCCAGCGTGGCGACTTTAGTCGAGGCAGTTTTTCCTTTCCAGTTTTTAATGTGTTTCATTGGTTTCGATCGTTGTACGACCGATTCCCCCCGCCCCCCGATTTTTCCACACATGATCTCCTCGTGGTACTTACCTGTCTGGCTGCAGTCGGCCCTGATCGTCTGGACACAAAGCGCCGTCAAGCCACCCGGTGCCGCGATTCTTGACTGCTGAGCTCTTGCCGCGCTGGTATATCACGCAAGGGAAGGGCAACGTGTGAAAGCGGGCGGACGTGGTGTGCATGGGCCCGAACATTGAACATGTCTTTGCCACGCTCCGCCAGGGGCCTTTGGGGCGCGGCCTCCTTGCCACTGGCGACTTCGGGATGCCGTTGCCGTTCAGTCCGGCGGTGAGCATGAAACTTGGACACCCTGTCGTGAACACACGCACATGCACACAGAGTAGGGCACAGACAGCAGAAAGCTCGTTCGTTTCGTTTCAACTTCACAGTGGAAGTGAATATCACAATTTTCGCTCTTTCGGCCGGAATGTTCTTTGGCGCCCAACACCAACCACATCTACAACAGCCGCCACGAGGACACTTTATCGTTTCCCTAGCTCTCACTATCCACGGAACCATGAACCAGCAGCGAACGAGGTTTCACACGAGATGTGAAGGAATAAGAATGAGAGTCCATTTATGAATGGACACGATTCAAATCGCAGTGTTTCACCGTGTCGACCCCGCGTGCATACCCACCGATGTACTGCAGGGGATAGCATCAACATATAGTCGTCCAAACAGTAACTGCTGTGAGCAGCAACAAACGAAAAACAGGAGTACAGTAGTACAGTATCGATACCAGTTGCAAGCATCGACACTTTACAGCAGCAGCAATGTCAAGCAACAAGGACGACATCGTCTGACACTGACCTCTCACCTTCGACTCGGGGCATCGAGTGGTCCCCTCCTCGCCCGACCTCCATCCCAGTGCGGCTTTCGCGTCGTGTCTGGCGTGGTTCTGTACTGGAAAGCGATCCCCAACTGTCTACATAGCAGCAGTGAACATGTTGCTCTACCCATATTTTTCTGCAATGTCGGCCATACTGTCTGGACCGTACAGTAGTATAGTGTGAGCCAAACGCGCCTACGTGTAGAATGCACCCGTCCGATAGGGGAGTTGAATTAGCACATCACAACGTGAGCCGCAATCCAATCAAGCCGCTTTCTTTTGACGGGTGCCAGAAGCGTACCACAAAATATGCGGTATCCCGCGAAAATGGGTGTACATGTACAGGCCGCCATTTAAGGTGGAACACCCACGGTTTACCGCTGTGTTGGCGCCACAGCAGTCGTAGAGGTAACTTGCCTGGTCAGCAGAGGGCACGCTCCGCTGGTGCTTCCTAACGTGAGCGGCACACAGGTTTGGGCGTCATTGCAATTGTTTGCCCCAACCAGTGGTCATGGTCCAACAATGAAGTTGTCAATCAATGACTCCTGCGTCGAACAATGTAGAAGGCATGCCGCGCGCCCGTACAGGAAAAGCAGGCTATCAATGGACAACTCATCATAATAGGCACGGTCATCTCACATTACTGCATGAGAAAGCAATGTCAGCATGTTTGCCGGCGTTGTTAGATGCGACCCATCCTTACAACCCACGGGGTCCAGCTTGTCCAACACGTTTACTTCCAAAAGGCATCATATGCGCTGCTTTGCGCTCGAACGAGTTACGCGCACACGCAGGATCTTCCGCCGCAGATGCTCCCTCTAACACTTGTGAACTACGGTACTGTATATTCCAACCAATTCGGCTGCATCGAGAAGCCAATTGGCGTCACTCCGCGTGAGGGTACCCACAACCTCGATGTGTGCCAACCTCTATTTTTGATGCGTTGTGAGTCCAACCATTGTTTGATACCAGGTATGAAAGATTCATTCGTCAAGCAATATGGACATCCAAATGTCGTCCAACATCTCAGAGCAAGGCGGTGGAGGGAATGTGAACCCCACACTTTGTGAATATCGCTGTGAAAGAGAGAGAAAAACGTTGTGTGTGACGGCATGCCACGACACTCCAGCAAGTCTCAAGTTGACCACAGCAGTATCGAGATCCCATTGACTTTTTGTACCAACCACCGATGTCATCTCTCATTATCGCTCGCCGGTATCGCTGGTCCCTTCTCCTCCATTCTTCACAGCTCCTTGTCCGTGCAGGGAAAATCAACTGTTCGATCGGGACTTCAACATGTCCAGTTACGACAATAGGACTGGAGCTGCCTCCGCGTCGGTGACAGCCGAAACCCCAACGGCAACGGCAACGGCAACAGCAGCGTCAGCATCATCATCTGACCGTGTTACCTTGGAGATCAAGGGAGCCAAACTCAACGTGAGCGGGAGGTCGTTTACCCGTATGTCGATGGACTGCCGTCGAATTTCCTTTCTCTGATTGATGCTGGTCAGCTGTGAACGCGTCATTGTCCATCGTTTGATGAAACGGTCGCGAGTGGTGTCGTAGTCGGCAGATTTTCATTGCGGTGAAATCAGGCATGTACTGTGTATTGCGCGGAACCTTCATAGCAGTCAATTCCAGCTGAAACCCCGCCTGTCAGACCTCGAGAGTTCATGGAACGCTGGACGGTATAGAAAGGTAGAGAACTGGTCAGTTTTTTATTCCACGTGTGGGAAGCTGGTTGCACTGCGTATGGGTTGCACTGCGTATGATCATCTGTGAATCTCACTGGGCGAGAATGTTTCAAGCTGCTGTAGGGTCAAATCGTTGCACTAGTCTACGGTTGTATATATTCATAATCAACCGTGACTACATTGACTCACACTTGAGATGTAACTTCCGAGAGCAGAGGTTTTCCCCGCAACACTTCGTATCACCATCGAAACATTGGCTCAGAAGGTTGCAGCAGGGACTTCGTTGTTCATTCGGTCACTTTTCGTATAAAGACGTTTGGCCTCTGGAGGATCCACATTCCTACCTCCGTAAGGCAGCCGTCAAGGGTTTCCCACGCAGCCTTCCCGAGGCAAAATGTTAAAGCTGGCATGTTGTGTCGTTGATTGTACGGCAGGTTGCTATCCAAAATGCACTGAGGAGGAAACGCAGTCACGACAGGTCTCCCGTGCAAGGTGAGCTGAGGGCGAAACCCTTGTGACCTTTCCCAAGGGCTCGTATCCGGTCTGCCCTGGACACGGGGATGACAAGATGTTGTGATAGGTCATGATCGCACGATCAGACGGTCCGGTAACGCGCCTGTGCCTACGTGCTCATGTTTTCTGGGAGATAGGTACAGTAGCATAGCCGTGTACCCAACGCACCCGGCAGTATTCGATCCCTGTCCGTGTTGGCGTTCTCAACATGTGGCTTTCTGGCCTCGTTGAGCGAGGTTAGGACCTTTCGTTGCTCTGTGCTTCATTGTGGAGGGAGACGCTCATCTATAGAGCGACACTTACGAGCAACCCTCAGGCGAACTGTGCACGATTCGAAGAGCAGGAAAAAGATCCGATGTCTACTGCCGTAGAGGCGTTTCTCCCTGTGAAAACACAACCCTATCACAATGACGCGCGCGACCAATTTGACAACAGAGCGTTCACCGTTTTTAACCGGCTGGCCCGCTCCCTCCTCATTTTTCCACGGCTGCTCAGGGCCTCAAGACCGTGCGGATGGTGGTGACCGCGACGGCCCAGGGTGTCAGTATTCCAACGACGATGGCAAAGGTAGCATCAGCAAGAGGGAAGGACCCCGGTCGGCGGGAGGTGCGAAAGCAGCACGGGGATTCCACCGTCAGGCAGAGTCGTCGGGCTCTCCGTTTCCAGCATGGTCCAAACCGTTTCCCGTAGCGGTGATAGCGAGAACATCCAGGAAAATGTCGTCCCTGCCTCAAAATCATTCCTGGGGCGGAGCGATTCACTATTGGCGACGCATTACGTCTGTTTGGTTTCACTACTATCCTCTTGCATGACCGAATACACATATTTCCCGTGTTTGACAATCACTTCACGTTGTATCTGGTCTTTCATAGAGACGAAGTCAGCAATTTGTACTACAGTACAGTAGACACCAATATCAACGAATACGAAACAAATGACGCAACTCAGAATGAATTTGCTCTGGATCAGGCACGTCAGTAAAGGACGTCGCCTTGCTGAAGGCTGCTGCCGAGAACCTCCGCGCGGGTATAAGGGAGAAAGAGGACGTCATCACCGAGCTGGTTAGTGAGGGAGCGTGTCGGAGGGTGGTGGCTGCATGGGTGCTTCAAACAGGGAACCTGCATGGTACTCTCATCAATTAGCACGTCTCGGACGATCATCGTGTTCTCCGTTGTCTTTGCACGCATCCGACGAGGCGCGACCCTGGCTCAAACCTTTTGACATCCGGCAGCAAAGCGTTTCAGCCGTCCATAACCACCACTCCGTCAGCCACACAAGTTACCCACGATATTTCCGCCTAGCAATCAAGGGCATCTTCCCCTCGGTAAGAAGGACGGCACTTGCCTGATGAGAGCCGTCGTAGGAAACCCGTCCTCGCGTGTCTTCTCGTCTAGGCAGTAGCCGCATTGTGGACCCGCCTAGAAGCACCTTGCTGACAATCGTCTCATCCACGAATACCCACCGCCCTTCTACGAACGCACCTCGACGTAGGAGAGGGACAAAGAAACCTTGCTGGAGAAAGCGTCTCAGCTAGAGTCCACCACCCAGGAAAATTTCAGACTCGGGCAGAAGGTCGCGGAACTTGGGCGTCAGGTAGAGCGACAGGAACCTACGGATCGCATTCAGAGTATGTCGCTATCTCTTCCTGGTAGTCCCTCTTTCCCCGCCGATCAGCTTTTCGTAAATTCTATGTGCTACGGTACGCGTCTCGCTATTAACGTTGGCATGGAGTCGTACGCACCCGTTGAGCCGAACAGAGCGTCGCGAAAGATTTTCCATGTTCGGCAGTTAACCTTGCCAAACGTCAACCGTAGAGAACTGTAATAACTCCCCGTCATCGCTGTTTCGTTCGTTGTTCTCCTCGGTTCCTACAGTAGGAGCAGGCTGGTTGTTGTTTCTGTTGCTTGCGCTGTGTACGTTGTTGCTGCTGATGGAATTAACGTGGTTGTTTTCGTATTTCTTCCCTTTCCATTCCTCTTTCGGCGCTTGTATTTCGCTGCGGTCATGTTCGTCCTTCTTCACGGTGATTCCGGCATTGCTTTTTTCGGCCTTTGTTTGTGAACAACGCAGATCGAAAGTCTCGAGGCAGAGCTCGCGAAGGCGGAGGCCGGGCGGGCCCTCACCATGTCGTTGGTGGAAACACTGAAGTCTGCGCAGAATGACCTCAGAGCTTCCCATGCCCAAGTTTCCCAGAGGTGCGTGAATGCATATGCTATAGGACTGGACTGATGAACACCAACAACAACAACAGCAGCAGCAGCAGCAGCAGCAACACGGCCGTCAAAAGGCAATTAAGATGTTTCGAGAAACAATATTGCAGTGCTCGTTGAGATCCATGTATGGTGTTCAAATCTTGTCGCATGGTGTAGATGTGTCAGAAAGCTTCCCAGCGACAAGAGCAACCATTCAAAATACTGCTTCAAATTTCGCCGTTTCGCCCATTTTCGGGTGAGGATACTTGCGCGTTTGCATACGAGAACGGCATGGATGGCACGGCACGACGCCCATGTGCACAAATGTTGGAACGATCTGTCGCACACGATCGTACTTCTCGCGTTTTCTAGGGCGTTTGGTGGCTCGTGTCGCCGTCGCTTGCGGTCGGAAAGTGCTTCCTTGCTGTGGGGGCACTTGCTTTGCGGTGAAAACGCTACCACCGTGTGCGGGTGCATTATTCTCGGGGGGGCGGTTGTCCTGTGGGCTCGGTCAAATGCACCAGCTGCGTGGTGTCCTTGTCATGCCTCCCTCCTACCGAGTATCGCAGAGGTGTTGGGGGGTACGTGTGTCGAGGTCGAGCTGGGGCACTGTTCCCCATCTGTAGTATATATCG